GGGATGGACTAAGCTGGACATCAGCAAAAGCTGGGCAGGCCCCTCCCACTCCCACAGGGAGCTGGGCGTGGTATCAGAGTGGGTGGGGCAGGGAACTTAGGGAGCCGGGGCTGCCCCTGTTTCTGCTGGCACTCCCCTGCAGCCTGTGTGTCCTGGAGATGCTGGTGGTCAGCCTGAGGGTCCCGAGGCCCTTGGGGAAGCCAGAGCAGCCAAGGCTGCTTCCACTGAGAGCCCGGGGTGTTCACAAGTCTCTGGGTCAGGGCTCCCGGGAAATCATGGTTGAGCTAGCGGAATAGCTTACAGATCGCTTTTCAATGTAAAGAAACATTTAAAGAGACGCGCAGGGTTCCTCTGAGCTCACCTTACTCACTTCCGCCCTCGATCTTGCTGGAGACAATAGATGGGAGGCGTGGGGGAGAGAAGCCGGGCCCCTGTCTGGCTGGGCCCTAATGCGGCGTTTGCAGCAGCCTGAGGCTTGCTCTCTCCAGGGCCTGCCTTGATTTCTGCCCAGAGGAGGCTTCACCGGCCTGAGCCGAGAGCGGGGGTCCAGTTGTCCCTCCTGGTCCTGTGAGGTCCTGAGGTTAGCAAGGATGTAAATGAGTTAAATGGCTTTGAGCCAGCTTTGGAGAGAATATTCCAACATTCTAGAGATGGGAATCCCGTAATTGTCCCGTAGGAAGTGGAGCGGTGGAGCAGCTGCCGCTGCCTGCCATCTGCCTGGGCCTTCCCCGGGGGCTTGGGGCCCCATGTGCAGAGCCTTTGCTTGGGGACTCTGGTCCGGGGGAGGACAGGAGGCCCAGACACGGAAGGGCCAGGCTCTCAGCATCCCTGAAGACCATCAGACATCTGACCTGTTGTCCTCCTCGCTCATGCAAACGGGCGAGGACACGCAGTCCTCCCCGCGTCTGTGTGTGTCTCATCAGCTTCCTTGTCGCTCTCCCGCTTCGGCCACAAGGGCTGCCTTTCAAATATCAGAGCGGCAAGTAGCCCCCCGTACCTAGAGTGGTGTGGACGCCACGCGTGCCCGGGGTGCAGCCCTGCTGAGATCCCAGGGCGGAACAATGGCACCTGCTTTCCACGCAGGTTCCGATCCACCAGCTCCTTGTGCCTTTCTTGCCGATTAGGACAGCCGGCAATGCAGGAGCCCGGTGCGTCTCTGCTGCTTCTGATAAGATTGTGAGAATCTCACCAGGGGATTCGCTACATTAACATCAAAGACACAGCCCAAGGGTAACCGGATTTGAGAAATGGAAAAGGCAAACATTTTACTATTCCCAGAGAAAGCGCCTCCCTCCCTGGCAGCGTCCTGATTCGCTGTCCCTGTCCATAGTGGGTCCAGGCGAATCTTATCAGCTGGATCAGTGAGTTCAGGTCTAAGCAGGGGGATCTTCTTCCTGGGTGTTGGGTCAAAGGGAGCTGCTTTCTGCCCACGTTAAACATCAAAGGATGCAGAACTAGTCCTCCGCGTGAAACACCCGCTCTGGTTCCTGGGCGCTGTTTGGGTCTGGACATCGCTGATAACACAGGCGTCTGGGATTTCCGGAAGCACCCTGCTCCCTCCTAGAAGGCTCAGGGTGCTGGTCCGTGGCGGGCGGTGGGCAACAGACTCCCGGAGCCTGCCTGGGGAGGGAGCGGGGCTCGGAAGAGGGGATTCTTCAGGGGCATCTGCGTTTGCGTTTCAGGAAGGGAGAGACAATTCAGCGAGACAGGCAGATTCTGCGAGGCTTACTTCTGCACACTCCAGCAAAGCAGAACTGAGTGCGATTCCTTCCCCTCTGCAGGAGAGAGCAGCCCCGGTGGGGGCGAGGCCGGGAGGGAGACACAGCGGCTGCAGTGTGGCTGCGGCAGGCAGCGCTGCGGGGAGGCGCCCCTGCCTGCTCAGGCCCGTGCGTTCTGATTGCACTGACCTCACTCAGCGTGTCCAGAGCCTTGTGCCGCCGGCCTGTGGGTCAGCGCCTTGTGCAGACCCCGCTCTGCCTTCCAGGGCGTGTGAGTGAAAGGGACTCGATCGACCTTAAAGTCATGGAGGAAACAAAGCAGCTGCCAGCCTGGAAGCCTGGGCTGGGGTCTCACACGGGGCCGCAGAGCGGAGAGCATTTCTTTACCATTCTCTTGTAGGAAACAGTAGCTCCTTTGTTGCATCTGCTACCTGGCATCTTCTAACCTTCGGTTTGCATCCGTCGTCAGTACACGGGGACCTCATTTCAAGCACGCAAGGTTATCCTTAGTGGAGGTTAGGCACCGTGCCCTGTGCACAGGCTCTGACGTGTCCATGGCGTGGCAAGAGAATACGGCTGATGTGGTTTGGGAAGACGACAGATGTCAACTGCTCACGGGGTGTGTTTCGGGGCGTGAGGTGACCAAGAAGTGTCTGGAAGGGAGAGTCCTGGTCACTTCGTTCCCTGAAACCATTAACTGTGTCAGAACTTTGTCTTGTATCTAGCGCTCCCTGAGTTGGTTTTCCATGTTACGCCATCGCCACTGGGAAGTGGCTAGAACCTGGCTGTTTGCGGGTCAGCCGGGGCTCCTGCAAGACGCTGAACGGGGCCCTGCGTGGTGAGGGGCTGACGCCACTCATGAGACCCAGAAACATCTGGAGGTGAGGGGGCCTGTGGAGCGTTGGCCTCCAGAGAGGAGACCATTGCCACTGCCAGAATTGAGCCGTGCACTGTGGGTGAGGGCCCCGGAGAGCAAGATCCGACTGTGGCTTCTGAGTGACACAGAGAGAGAGGCAGATGTATAGAGAGAGATCCGTTCACATGGATCTGTACAGAGCAAGCAAAAGAGGAAAGTGTGACAGCAAATGTAACTTACAGCGTCTCAGGAGGGCGCGTGTCTCCACACGTGTGTGTGAGTGTGCTGGGTGCATTGCATGTGTGGCATGCGTGTGTGTGCACCGGGTATGCTGTGTGCATGGCATATGTCTGTGTGTGTCCACGAGAGGTGTGGAGTGTGCAGTTCTGTGGAGGCACATGGTGTGTGTTGTGTATGGCGTGTGCTGTTGCCCGTGTGTGTCTGTGGGTGTGTGGTGTGTGCTCTGCACATGTGTGTAGTGTGCACACGTGTGTGTATAAACCCTGCCTGCTATGAAGGTGTTGGGCCCAGAAGCAGGGCTAAAACCCAGGACAATGAGAATCAGACTTTGTAGTTATGATGCAGATTGGCTGAGTGACCCAGGAAAGGGGGTTTCTCCTTTTTTTAAGTTTTATTTTGGATGTGTGCTCACTGGGCATTTCACAGAAGCGCCAGGGGCCCCCGAGACCCCCGCTCTGGGTTCAGTGATTTGCTGGGAGGCTCCACAGGCCCAGGGTGGGGGCGAGTTCCCAGCTGTGGTTCCCTCCAGCCAAAGGACTCGGAGAAAATCGGTGATGGGAAAAGGCACACGGGGTGGAGCTTGGAGAAAGCCGGGCTCAGGCGCCCATGGCCCTGCCCTGGGGGCTATGCAGCGTGCTCTCACCTCCCCCTCCCCACACAGTCGGCTGTGAGACAGCATCGTGTGCCGGGGGCTCAGGGGGACTGGGGCCCAGGGTTCTCGTGGGGGCTGGCTGCGTAGACACCCTATGCCTGGCACACATCAAAATTCCAGACCCTCTCCCCCAAAGAACACGAGACACCCCGTGCCAACTGCACTGTTTGCATGGTTTAGGCCGGGGGAGCCCCTCTAATCAGGGTGGTGGGGGCCCTCCCAACACCTCAGTTCCCAGCGAGGGGCTTCGTGCCATCTTGACGTTTGCAAGGGACGCAGTCTTGGGCGTGCTCATGCGGAATCTTTTCTGGAGGGTGCAGCTGCTTTTGTGATGGGAGCTTGCGTTGTTGCTGGTGTTTTTCATGCATCCAACAAACACTTCTGGAGTAAGCCCATCACTGAACGCTGGGGAAGACGAGCGAATGGGGGGGTCTGTGTGTTGAGAACTGCATTGCCTGGCATCCAGACGCCCCGACGTTGGGATGCTCTGACCCAGGTGCCCAAGCGTGTTGCTGCACCGCGGTGCAGCTCTGTGTTCAGCTGTGAGGTTCCTCTCTGGTTCTCCTGTCTCCCTGTGACGTCTGCTTGTTTTCAGACGTAGGAGACGGGTGGCCAGCCGAGGCCGTCAGAGCCCACAGTCTCTGGTCTGTCACTTCTCCATGAGTTGCACCTCAGGGAAGCTGAAGAAGAAGACAGGCCCACTCATAACACCACACCAGGGGGTGCTAGCCACTGTGCCATCCGCGTCATCATTATCACGCCAGACGCGGGCGTCAGAGACCAGGGCTTGCTCAGGCAATGTGCTATGCTACTAGAAAGTAGGACTCAAGATGTAGCAATGTAACTTTGACTCAGTAGTGGATAGGCTCCTGAGTAGTTCAATGTGGACCCACGTGGACCGCACCCCACTCACGGTCTGCGTGCTCTGGGCTCGGTGGCAGGAGCCCCAGAAAACCAGGAGGCAGAGCTGCCGTGGTCGTCGGCGCTCCGTGGCTTTGCTTCTGGACGGGAGCTTCCAGGCTTGCTGTCTCCACCACACCTCAGCAGGCCCCACTCTGGTGGCCGCCACTCTTAACTCCCCTCCTGCAGCCGCGGGACACTGGCACTGATGGCTGCGCTGAGAATGGAGCCTGCTGGTTCTCGGGGCCCTGCCCCCAGCTCCCCACAGTTCTCTGTGTGGCCAGCGGTCTTTCCCAGGCATCTCCTTGGAGTCTGTCAACACCCCATCGCCAGCCTCCTGGCTCTCGTCCACGGCTGCAAACACAGGTCCTCGGGGCAGGCAGCCGGAGTGGGAGCAGCTCCTTGGCCGGCCCCTCCTCCCTCAGACACGGCGCCCTCGTGGCTTCCCTGGCGGGCAGATCTCCGCCCTCCCATTTAATCGCCCAGCACAGTGCTACTGTCCACATTGGTGTACGCTTTTTTTTTTTTTTAATTTGATCCTGCATTTTCCATTCTGTCTGGTAAGTTGTATTGGATTCAGAAAATCTGTGCATTTTCTGCTTTATTTTTCTGTAAACATTAGGCTGCTCTAAAAATAAAGTCAGTTAAAATATTTTAAAAAATCCCCCTTCAGTGCTGCGCTCACCCCACTCCCCTTGATCCCCGGCCTTGTCCCGGGACCACGTGTCATCAGTTCTGTGCTGCCCCGTCCTCTGTTTGGTACTTACTCCATTTCTTAAGTCACAGGTGCTCGGGTCCCCCAATTTTTTTTAAAGATTTATTTATTTATTTGAAAGTCAGAGTTACACAGGGAGAGAAGGAGAGGCAGAGAGAGAGAGAGAGAGAGGTCTTCCATCAGCTGGTTCACTCCCCAAATGGCTGCAATGGCTGGAGCTGTGCCAATCTGAAGCCAGGAGCCAGGAGCTTCTTCCAGGTCTCCCACGTGGGTCCCAGGCCATAGCAGAGAGTTGGATTGAAGTGGAGCAGCCAGGTCTCTAACTGGTGCCCATATGGGATGGGATGCTGGCACTGAAGGCAGTGGCTCTACCCACTACACCATGACACCAGCCCCCACAGTTTCTCAAATTTTAAGGAGACCGTTGCCAGCTTTCAGACCATAGGCCGGCTCCTCCCTCCCTCCCTCTCTCCCTCCTTTCCTTCCTTCCCTTCCTGGGCAAGCTCACTGAGAATAGGACGTCCTCACCTCCATCCTCCACTCTCTGGTTTGGGCCCTGTCTCAGACGCCCGACTTCAGGGGTCAATTCCAAGGCCCCCCCCCCCCCGCCCCGATTCAGTTTCTCGCTGACTTCCCTGCAGAGTGAACACTCCTGGTCTTCTCCCTTCTTCAGCTACAGAGCAAAGGGCCCTACACTGGGAGATGTGGACGGTGGGGTTTACCTTCTCACGGTCCGGGGGCCGCGGGGCTGGGTTCTGGAGGGCTGCCTGCCTGCCGGCCTTGCACACGACACCTTCTTGCTGGGTCTCCATGCATCCTTCTCTCAGCGCTTCACTTATGAGGATCCTGGTTCTGCCAGCTTAGGGCTCGTCCTTATGACCTCACTTAACCCTGCTGACTTCCTGTTTAAAACAGTACCCGATGGCTCAGGGCTTCAATGTGGGGCTTAGAAAGGGCCAGGCTGGTCCATAGCAATTGCTCTCCGTTCCATTTCTTCAAAAATACCCTGCACGTGACCTTCTCGCTGAAGACTTCTGTGTTCTTCCCTTGGGTTTGCCTCTTCTCTCCCCACTCAGAAATGTAAGCAGCCACTCTGTCCACTTTCACCCACTTTCTCCACGGGCCCCTTCCTGTCCCCCTGCAGCTCTGCCACCTCGGCCTGGCACCTGCCGTCTCTCCTGGCCCCGCTGGGTCACCCCGGGTGCTCCCTCCTGCACCTCCAGCAGAGCCTGCCCCGAAGGGAACTGGTTTTCCTGCAGCCACAAGCGCACTCCCCTCTGTGTTCTAACTGTGTGGGTTTCCCAGGACTAACGCAACACAAAGCACCACAAACTGGTGCCTTCAAATGACGGAGACTTACTTTCTCACAATTCTGGACGCTGAAAGTCCAAAGCCACGGTGTTGATGGGGCTGTGCCGATGCTGATGGCTCTGGGGAGAATGTGTCCCAGGCCTCCTCCCAGCTCCCGGGTGCACCTGCGATCCTGTGTCACTGCCGTCTCGGCTCCCGTCCTCACACGGCCTTTCTCTCTCTCTCTGTGTCTTTGTGTCTCTCCCTATAAAGACACCAGTCACACTGAACTGAGGACCACCCTGTTCCAGAATGACCTCATCTTAACTCACTGCATCCACAATGACCCTCTTTCCAAATACGGCCGCATTCGGAGGTTCTGGGAAGGAAAGTGATGAGGCTGTGAGAGACCTTATTCAGCTCTCTGCAGTAACAAATCTAACCAGCTCTTTTTTTTTAACCCTTTCTTGCACATATTTTTATCTTTGTTTATTAGATGAGATCCTTAAAAAAATTTTCAAGGGAAATAAACACAAAGCACGCAATCCCATGAGTGTGACAAAGAGTACCCGTAGCCAGCTCCCCCCCACCCCCAGCCTGTCCCCACCTGCGCGGGGGCTGCAGCTGCCCGGCACGCCATCAGCTGCCTCCGCCCCAGCTGTGTGGCCGTCCTGTGTCAGCCCGGGCTGGGAGCCAGACTGGGGACAGGCTCGAGGGCCTCCAGGGCCCACGGTGCAGGGGCAGCAGGCAAATGCTTGGCTTGCATTTTCATAGACTCACTTTCTGAGTTACTTCTGTAGATTCTCAAGCCCCCGTGTTGCACTGCTCCCCACACACACGCTTTCTGGGTTACCCCGACGTAGGCTGCTCCGGGAAGTGTGATGCCGCCTCGGGCACTCACGGTCTTGGTCAGTGATAGGACGCTGCGGGGCGGTGGATCCTGTGGCCCCTGAGTCAGGTTCCCCCTCCCCAGAGGAAAGGGGGAGGACTTCACGAATGCGGAAGTGGAGGGTAATTTCCCGAGTGATGAGTGGTCTAACAGCTTACGTGCCATAGAAACGTTTTCTCAAAAACTCCACTTTCCAAAACCAAGTTTCAACAAGCCGACGTTGTGTTGGATGAACGATTACCGTTGTCATGGGCACATGCCCTGGCTCCCGGCGGGGCAGATGTTCAAACCCCAAAGTCCTGAGGGTGGCTGGTGCTCGGAGCTGGAAGCTCTGTCCAGCTGGAGGGTGTGGAGGCAGTGAAGATGGCCCGGGGGCTTGGGCCCCTGCTACTTATGCGGGAAACCTGGATGGAGCTCCAGGCTCCTGGCTTCAGCCTGGCCCAGCCCTGGCCGTTGCAGCCATTGGGGGGTGAAATAGTGAATGGAAGTGTCCTCCCTCCCCCCCCCCTCCTTCCCTCCCTCCTCTCTTCCTCCCTCTCCTTCCCTCCCTCCTCTCTCTCTCTCCCTCCCTCCCTCATCTCTCTCTCTTCCTCTTCTCTCTCTCTCTCTCTCTCCCTTTGTCTCTCCCCACCATCTCTAACTCTGCCTTCCAAATAAATAAACTTTTAAAACCTAAAAACACCCTCCTTCCTTCATAAATAGCTACCCTCCTTCCTTCATAAATAGCTTCTCTCGGGTCTTTTCATGATAGTAACGCAACACTGGCTAACACGATCGCCTGGGGTTGGATCGCCTTGCAGCGCCGTGTGATCTATAAGGTAAGCATTCTGTTCAGCTTCTGGAAACCCATGGAGCTGCTGGGTGCCGGCCCTCGGCGTGGGCGTCCTAAACAGTAGCCCGTGTGCGGCACACGCTGCCTCGTGGCGCAGTGCGGTCTCCAGCTGCGCCTGGTGGAGAAGCTGATGAGCAGAGGCCGCCATGCTCTCCAGCCAGTGGTTTCTGGCTTCTGCGTGCCGGCTCCTTCGCCAGCAGTCTGCATCGGCCCTTGGCTTCGAATTGAGAGAGACCTGACTTTGACCTGGCTCAACCTCAGCCATTGTGGCCTCTTGGGGAGCGAACCAGCAGATGGAAGGCCTCTCTCCATCTCTGTCTCTCCCTCTCTCTCTCTCTCACTCTGCCTTTCAAATAAATAAACAAATCTGGTTCTTAAAAAGAAGTCTGCACTGCTGTCACGGAAGCATTTTCTGTGCTGTGGCCTGCGGGAAGGGGCACAGGTGGGAGACGTGGCTGTGGCCTGCGGGAAGGGGCACAGGTGGGAGACGTGGCTGTGGCCTGCGGGAAGGGGCACAGGTGGGAGACGCGGCCGTGACCTGCGGGAAGGGGCACAGGTGGGAGACGTGGCTGTGGCCTGCGGGAAGGGGCACAGGTGGGAGACACGGCTGTGGCCTGCGGGAAGGGGCACAGGTGGGAGACATGGCTGTGGCCTGCGGGCAGGGGCACAGGTGGGAGACGCGGGCCCTAACATGTCACGGTGCGTGGGCTAACCCCCAGGGGAACATAAACGCTGACGGGACTCTGACGATCGCTCTCAAAGACGCTCCCTGAAGACCGCACTTCCCACGATGAGTCCTGGTGAAATACACTGGCAGTTCTGAGTGGGGCCTCCGTATAGAACAAAGTGCATCTTGGAGGAAATGGTGGGGGATGAATCTAAAATACTTACCCGGCACTCACACTGTCTGTTTGGGCTGCTCTGGACGCCGGGCTTGGAAACAGCGGGGATTTATTTCCCACAGTTCTGGAGTCTCAGACGCTGTGCCCGACGTGCGGGGTCTTTTGGTATCTGGCGAGGGCCCTTCTCCTGGTCCACACGTGGCCGTTAGCCATCTCCTCGCACTTCTGCTCACTCGGACAAGAGTCTGCCTCTGAGAAGGACACCAGCCCAGTTCACGAGAACCGCAGCCTCGCGAGAACTCCAACCGTCATGCCAGGGCCAGGCTCCGACGCGTGGGAGTGGGGCAGCCGGACATTCAGTCTGTAGCACAGTGGCCCTCTCTGACAATGGAAGTATCCCTGGACGGATGCTTCCGGACAGTTTTTGGGTTAGGGGTGTGCTGAGAGGGGAGTGAGGGCTCTGAGACGCTGGATCCCCAGAAATCACACGTGTGAAATTAGTAATTCCCCTTCACCAATCTCCTTGCAAAGAAAATACTTCTCCACGTTCTTACTCTCTGCAAAAGGTTTTTTAAAAAAAATCCTCAATGTAAAGACCCTTAAATATTCTGACAATTTTGAGAAAGTAAGACAGAGACAGGTGTATCTGCCTTTGATAGAAACAAATGACAGCCAGGAGAGAGAGAGAGAGAGAGAGACACAGGGAGACAGAGACAGAGAGAGACAGAGAGCGAGACAGAGACAGAGACACAGAGACAGAGACAGAGTGAGACAGAGACACAGAGACAGAGAGAGACACAGGGAGACAGAGACAGAGAGAGAGAGTGAGACAGAGACAGAGACAGAGAGTGAGACAGAGAGAGAGAGAGAGAGAGAGAGAGAGAGGCAGGAAAATACAGCTTCATTTAAATGTCCTGGACATTAAGGAAAGCGTGGGCAGCATCCAGTGAAAACCTCCCGGCCTGAGCGCTGAGCGCTGCACAGGTTCTGTGCTTCGCGTCTGGAATGGACGTTAAGGTTTGATGCGAACCATCGGTGGCAAAGCCGCGAGAAAATTCCCAGCTTTTCTTCATTTAGCGATGGGGTGGCAGGCGATGGGGCAGAAGAGGAAGCCCCCGGGCAGACCTGGGCTCATGCTTCCTTCCGTGGGGCAGGGGAATGGACGGAATTCTACAGAAGAAGGGGACGGGGACACTCTCCCGGGGTGGACCTGGGCTGCTCCAGGCGGGCGCCATCTTTTAAGTGCATTTTCCACAAACTATTAGCAACGCTCCTGTGCAATCTTTGTCGACGTTAACATGTGAAATCTTTAAAATATTCAAGTTTTAAACTTTAAAATATTTACAAATATTAAATTCTGGAATCATGGTTTAAAAATGCAATGAGTTCACATGGAAGCAGGCCACGTGCACCCGGACCGAGGGCCCAAGCCTGGCTGCGTTCCCTTTTGGGAGCCGGCCCTCCTCAACGGCAAGCGCATGTGGCTTTTTCAATGATAGGGTTTCAATTCCAACAGACAGCAGTGCCAAGAACTAAAAATTCCACCATCTAATTAGTGGGGGCCGGAACTCAGCAGGGCCTTTCTTCCCTGATAGCATCCCTAGTCTGAAAATGACTTAATGAAGGCTTTTTATAAAAGGCCTTTACTTTCCTGGTACAAGAACAATCGCAGTGAAAGATACGGAAACAATGCAATGGGCAGAAAAGGACAAAAAAAAGTAGGCACGGAAAAGGAGAAAGGCAGGAAGGACACGCAGGACAGAGCAGAGCCAAGATGGAGGCTGAGGATTTCAGTGTGTGACGTCGCCCAGAGGACACAGCACCCAGCTCCAGCGTCAGACGTCACCCAGGGGGGCACAGCACCCAGCACTAGCGTCAGACATCACCCAGAGGGGCACAGCACCCAGCACCAGCGTCAGACATCACCCAGGGGGGCACCACACCCAGCTCCAGCCTTAGAGGTCACCCAGAGGGGCGCAGCACCCAGCTCCAGTGTCAGGCATTGCCCAGAGGGGTGCAGCACCCAGCTCTAGCATCAGACGTCACCCAGAGGGGCGCAGCACCCAGCTCCAGCATCAGGTGTCACCCAGAGGATGCAGCACCCAGCTCCACTGTCAGGCATTGCCCAGAGGGGTGCAGCACCCAGCTCCAGTGTCAGGCATTGCCTTGTCTAAATATGTTCAGAGTCAGTGAACTCAGGGGGCTTCCATAGCCTTGGCAGCTCATGACAAGAGCCTAGGGTGATTACTGAGGCCATAAACAAGAGTGTCAATTTGTTAAGTCAACAACAGCAGTCACTGTGCACTTACTCCTCATGTAGGATCTTTGTCCTTAGTGTGCTGTACATTGAGATTTAATGCTATAACTAGTACTCAAACAGTATTTTTCACTTTATGTTTCTGTGTGGCAGCAAACTGTTGAAATCTTTACTTAATGTATGCTAAACTGATCTTCTGTATATAAAGAGAATTGAAAATGAATCTTGATGTGAATGGAAGGGGAGAGGGAGTGGGAAAGGGGAGGGTTGCAGGTGGGAGGGACATTATCGGGGGGAAGCCATTGTAATCCATAAGCTGTACTTTGGAAATTTATATTCATTAAATAAAAGTTTGAAAGCCAAAAAAAAAAAATTTCCCACCCCCATATGTGTTCTGGTACTAGAACAAAAAAAAATACTAAAATGGATAAAGTATTACATTGTACATCAACCGTCAGGACAAGAGCTGATCAAGTCACTGTTTCTCATAGTGTCAATTTCATGTATTTAAAAATACACATTTTGATAAATTAGTCACTGATAAACTCATAAATTTCCACCTGTTTTCTGTCAGTGGGAAAATTGTATGAATCCCTAGTCACTTCAGTTTTAAACTCTCAGTCTAAAACGAAGCTGCTTCTTACTCATAGTGGCTGTTGACAGAGGTCCTGTTCTTGAATGACATAATTATGCAGGAGAACAGAGAGGAACCCAGACCTGTGGTTTAGGATTCTTCTGTTTTGAAGGGTTAGTTAGATTGAGCTGATAGCAGGG